ATGTGAATCTACGGGTTTCTTCACAAAACAGGCCAGATAGTAAAACTTTTGACTGTTGAAGGCGCAACAACTGTTGATGACGAGGATGTTGTGGACGAGGGCCAAGTCGCAATCGGCAGACGCGATCTCGTGCAACGGTGGAGACCTATTCGAGCAACAATCGATCACGATGATGATAACGAACAGAGTTGATCGCAATTACCAGTCCGAATTGATGGGAGAGATCAGATTTGACGGAAAAAAATTAAGCTCTGATACCATGATACAAGAGAGAGATAGATGAATATTGTAGGGAAGATCGTCTCATCGGATGATCCAACTCTCTCTATTAACCAAGAATATATACACATGATTGGGGCTACAGTTACCAAAAGATAACCTAAGACTAATATAGTAAATACACAAATATACACATCGATATATCAGGACGCAGGGACGGATCTATCTCATAAAATGAGTGGGGGACTAATTTATTTTTATTTTTAAATATAATAACCTAAGTATAATAAAAAAACACACCTTCATAGTTATTCTTACTAGTATTCATAAGACAGTATATACAAAAACACTCCTTCATATTTATTCTTACTAGTATTCATACGAAAATATTGTTGTGTAATAATATCAATGAATTTTTAATCACATTTTATTTCGGCCCAACAATTTTAGAATTCACCTCAACTAATTTTAGATTGAAAGTAGCGCATTTTGTAATATTTTCACATGCACTTTTTTGTCAAGACATTTTCTAAAAAAAATTTCCCATAATTCGATATTGAAAAATAAATTATAATTTATAAAATATTTTATCTAATATATCAAATTTTTAAGAGCCATACAAACAAAGTTGTCAATCACACACAAATAATATATTTAATATTAATATATATATAATTAAGAAACAACAATCAATTAACTACAAGAATGCTAGAAATATGAAAAAGTATTTAATTTTTTCAATTAATAAGTATATGAATTTTTTTCCTATTTTCTCCCTCTGGTTCTTTTGTATGATCCATAAGGTATTGCTTCTTAATTTGTATAAATTTTTTATTAACTAGTTTTTGTCCCGTGCATTTGCACGGAAAACTATATGATACATGAAAAATAATAAAAATTATAAACAATAGTAAAAATCATAACAAATTCATTGAAAAAAATTAAGAAAAAAATATAAATATTCTTAAACACTTCTTTATAAAACAACGTCGTGGTTTTTCTATCGTCAAAATCTCCCTCAGCTCAAATCAAAATCTTCAAACCCCACTGACTTGTAACTTTAAAAAGCGTCACGTATAATTGCTCATGACTAAATGCAAAGCTCTTCAGTAGTAAGCCGACGTGCGACAGATACTGTCTTTGACTCTTATTGATCATGTCATAGCATAGGAAACACTTCTTTATATTGTTTGTCTCGACTCTTATTGATTGATAGAGATTGTCCTTGCTTCTTAATAAAAAAATACCATCTAAATATAAATGAGTAAATATAATATTAATTTTTTATATAAACAAAAAATTTAAAGTAATTGATAATGAGTATAGAATTACCCTTGCAGATTCAAGTTATTTCAACGATGTTCTTTTTATATATCTAAGATTTAATTTTTTTTTCTGATTTATATGAATATAAGCACATTTGACTAATTTTTATAAAATTTATTGAAAAAAGTTACTATCTTTTTGAAAAACTGATAAGATATTAAGATAATACTGTACTTAACATAAATGTGGAATTAATTAAAATAAATC